CCTCAGAATAACCATTCGGTGTCCATAAGCTCATCAGTCAGCTAGAAAAATAACTATAAAGAGGAGTGTTTTACTATATTTATGCGCTATTGCATATGAATATTTTTACTTAACCTGTTGTCTACATGATTCAACTCCTCCTATAAAATTACTAATTAAGAAAAACAGACTTAAAGTGTGAAAGACATAACTCTTAAAAATAAAAGGTGCTTAAAAGATTCTTCACGGAACCATTTTTGGTTCCTTAAAGAATCATTCAGTCAAAGGTTCTTTAAAGAACCATCTCTTTCTTACCTTTTTGTAATCTGAAGAACCTTATTTTGCCACAAAGAACCTTTTGTGAAACAGAAAGGTTCTTCAGATGTTAAAGGTTCTTTATGGAACCATTTAGACAAAAAGGTTCTTCTATGGCATCGTGAAGCACCTTTATTTTTAAGAGTGTACTGGTAACATTTAAGTGGACATGCTGTAGCTTTTGTTTTCTTAGTGTGCCAAAACAGTAGCTTACTGTACAGAAAGAGTCCCCAGAACTTTAAGCATTAAAAAACATAAAAAAAAAAAAAAAAAACATAAAACATAAAAAAACTTTTTTAGTCAGTTGTTGGGATCCTTTGTAATAATTGGACTAATAATATTATGCAATAATCATCACTGCATTGATAATTTCTCATTTTTGGCTCTTGTTGTTCTTCAGATGATCACTTCAGATTTTTGTTGATCTAAACTAAATACTCTGACAATTTAGTAATTTGAAAGTTCTGTTTCTTGAGGTAGACTTTCCATTACTGTCAGTAGTACTTGACTTCTCTAGATTGGAGATATGTCTAAATAATACTTAGTTTCACAAAAGGCTGGTGAAGAAAGAGTTGGTATTGTAAAAAATATTATTGCTCAAGTTGACAGTTGTATTTATTTATTTATTTCTTCTTGTGCTATAGTTTGAGTGTGGGTGCCTTTAAAAGGTGTCTCAGTCCAACAAAGGTCTTACTATGAAATTACTAGAACTGTATAATTTCCGACTATGAATGCATATTAAGTACATTTTTTAATGATAATTCTGGGAAGACTGTATATTGTGACACTTCAAGCTTTGTAGAAACAGCCCTGTACTCCACTATTTTGATGCACTTAAAATCCGTGGAAACTTCAGAATCAGAAAGAGCTTTATTGCCAAGTGCGCTTACACACACGGTGACAAGTGGCAAGTGACAAGAAACAACAAAATAAAAACAAGTGATATAAAAATAAATATGTAAAACAATATGCAATAAAGACCATATATTGTATGTACATATGTTCTATATACAAATCATGCAAGGGAATGTTGATTTTAGTGGATTAGTTAAACAAATGTAGGAACCATTTCTGATTCTGTGCGTTTTTGGACTAACAGGCGAGGTCAGAGTTTCCTCCCTTTAGTTACACACATTAGTCTCTGGACACTAAAACCCTACCCATAATCCCCCAGTAGACCCACCTACTCAGGTGAATATAAAGTCCAGGTCTGACAGCACAGAGACACCAAAGCTCAGCACAGGAGCATCCTGAACATCTCTACACACTGAGACGACATGGACACAAGAGCCTCCCTCTCCATTCTGCTGCTGCTGTTTGGCATCTCACAGGCATCTCCTCTCATGGTAAGATCCGGTCTAGTCTCTCCCTAAACAATCAAGGTTCCTCAAATGAGACATTTTAAACATCTCTGTTGTTGTCACCAGGATGAAAGCCTTGATGGAGTGTTTGTGTCAGAGCCTGAAACTGTGGACATCACTACAAGGATATTGGAGTCCAACAATGGTCAGGCACTTTGCAGATTTCTGTGAAGTCAGCAATCGGTTTCAAAAAATAGTGTTAAAATGTGGTCAAGATGTATAAATATGGTCAGTTATTTTATCAGTATAATGCCATGTCCACCTTTCACTCCAAAACCTGCATCCGCTTTGTGGCCAGATCAACTCAGAGTGACTACATCAGTATTGAGAACAAAGATGGGTGAGAACAATCATACAGTTTCAACAAGAAATATTTATCAGTCCTTAGTCCAAGGTCCAAAAAAAAATAATTTGAACCCTATTACTTCCTCTCTCCTCTCAGGTGCTACTCTTCTCTTGGCAGAACTGGTGGCAAGCAGGTGGTCTCCCTCAACAGGCAAGGCTGTGTGTATCACGGCATCGTTCAGCATGAGCTCAATCATGCCCTGGGCTTCTACCACGAGCAAACCAGGAGCGATCGGGATGAGTACGTCAAGATCAACTGGGAGAACATGTCTCCTGATATGGCCTACAACTTCCAGAAACAAAACACCAACAACCAAAACACTCCATACGACTACGGCTCCATCATGCACTATGGAAGAACAGCCTTCTCCATCCAGCCCGGGCTGGAAACCATCACTCCCATTCCTGATGAGATGGTGGAAATCGGACAGAGGCAGGGAATGTCCAACACCGACATCCTGAGGATCAACAAGCTCTATGGATGCTGAAGATGAGGAATAATTAAATATGTATCATGGGTCTTTGCTTTCTGGTGGTGTTCAAATTTGTAATTGTGTTGGGAAAAATAAAGTTAAAGTACAAAGCAACTTCATTTTATGTTGTTTGTGGTTTTTATTAATGAGCTGGTTATTATTACATCATAAAGCTGTTTATTTTGCAATAATAACAGGTCCCATTTATACATGGCTACTTAAAAAAACGGACATGAAATACTGAACTGAGACAAATAATAAAGGGGACCTAACACACACAATTTCACCCAATTTCATATTAATCTTGAGTACCTATCGAGTAGTACTGCATCCTTCATATCTCCAAAAATTCTTTAGTTTTATCATATTTATAAAATAAAGATTCAGCTTTACGATTCTCTCCAAAAACAACCGAGCTCCTGGAGGCGTGCCGTGGGTGGAGCTAAAGAGTGACGAGCACTTGCCCGATTGCCAACTGCCGCCTCCGGTTCCGAATCATGACTGAGATCTTTTATTGCTGGGACCGCTCCATCTTTCAGTATCAAACGATGTGCAAATCCAGCGTCAAACTGGGCCTTGTTTATAAAACGTTCGTCAACAAACACACTTGCGAAACTCCGTTGCTGCTCCGGAAAACAAACTGCATCCACTGTTTACGTAACGCTGGATTCTTTGTAGTGATGGGACGATTGATACCGAGGCTCCGAGGCTCCGATGCAGTTTTCAAAGCACTATAGTATCACACACTGTGGCGATGCTTGTATCAAAATGACAATACCACATGATTGATGACGTTTGAAGCTTCGAACGTCGTGCAGTATCGGAAGGTCGGGACAGCTGGTTTGAAAAAAAATCGACGCCTCACATGACTCTTGTGTTTGACTTTACATTGACTTTGTTGTGTGTGTGTGTACACTTATTTGGGATTCAGTAGAATAGTTTAGAATAACCTCAACACCAGACAGAAACTGAATGCACGTCACACCTCTATTGCATTTTATCATGTTCTAGCTGGGGTCTCAGAGACCCCGA